GGACACCCCCGCGCACCAGAAATCGATGCTCCCGGACACCCCCGCGCGCCACAAACGGCCCTAGTGTTAAGCCTACCGGGCGCTTTTCAATTATTAACTATGATTTGAATAACATTTTGTTGATCAACAAAGTTTTGATAGTAGTATTGATAATTTTTGTTGATCAACAAAAGTTTGACACCACTATAGAAAGTATTTTGTTGATCAACAAAATGTTGACACAATCTCAATCTATCTCTTCAACTCTTGACAAATTAGACAAGTGACAAGACTAAAATTCTTTGAATTTGTTCAGGCTGCTTAGCGTTGCTGTGCATGAACAGTAGCGGAACCATTCAGCTAAATTGGTGTCTGTGAACTATTTGTCGGCCAACACCAAGAGTATTGTAGCCCAGTGGCTGAATGTTTCCCAGCAAGGAACAGGCAACAAAACCCAAAATGCATTCTGCATGGGCGTGCTCAAATCTGTTTGGTGATTGGTAGATGCCTTCAGCATATATCTTTGAGCTACCCAACATGCAGACGCAGACGTTCAAACCTGAAGATCTGGAGGGACATGCGTATGTGAACATCGTGAGGGTGTGAGTGAACGCGCAGCTCCACATTGAAGGAGGGGGGGGTACGCGCAGCTGGCCAGTGCCCCCACGTTCATGTTCCTCCAGGCCTTGTGTATGCTTTGGCACTCTGCTGGATCCGGAGCTCCATCAGTTGAAATTGAGCTGACATGTGCAATTACACTTCAAACCTAATTCACATTCCCCAGCAGAGCGAGTTTTCAGGGATGTGGGTGGGCTGGATAGTCTATAGAGAAAGAGCTGATCTAGATAGAGCTAGTCTATAGCAAGCCAGACTATAGATAGCTAGTCTAGAGAGCTAGTGTAGTGAGCTATGGTCTGAGCTAGTCTGGATAGATAGTCTAGCTAAGCCTAGGCGGCTACTGCTGCTGCTGCTCTTGCCCACCCACCCTTTCAATGGCGGCGCGGGCCCCGCCACTGCATGTGCTGGACCTCCTGGTTCTTGCCTTGCCCCGATCCGCGCCGCCGTGCCCCGAACCTGGGCGGCGCAGACAAGCGTGTTGACAACCTATCAATGGCTGTGGCAAACATCCACACCTGGTTGGATTGGGGATTATTGGGGCATGGTCTTCGCCCTACAAGGAGATGCGAGCAAATTAAAACAGAAAAGTTAATTAAACTAGTAACGGAAAGAACTGGCCGTCGATCTCGTAGCCACCTTCGACGTAGTGGCCACCCCAGCGGTCCTTTTCACCAATGGGGTGCGTCTTGTTGGACTGCTTCGATCCGCGGTAGGTTGCAAGGCTTTGGTGCGCGCTGGTTGGGTGGCCCATTGCCTCTGCCACTGCCTTGGGTGCATACTGATGCAACAATGGCCCCATGTATTGAGTCCAAACACGCACAAGGCACAAACGAGCGCACAAAAACCTGACAGATTCACATCCAAATCACTCGAACTGGCACCACCATGGCCTCCCTTTCTGCCATGCTGATAGCCTTTGCCGTTGTGCTTGTTCTTGCCCTTATAGCCGCCCTTGCCCTTGCCCTTGGATTTGCCACCGCCGGACTGCTTGTTCCTGGATGTCTTCCATGGCTTGCCACCCTTGCCCTTGCCATGGAGATCCTCGAGCTCCTGATCACGATCTTCATCCACCTCCTCCTCTTCCTCCAGCTCCTCAGCTGGTGGGCCTGCTCCAGCTTCCGGCTCATCTGCCGATCGCTCTTCGTCATCGACTCCGTCTCCACTTTCCTTAATGCCCTTCCTCCTCCCATGGCTCCGTCTCGTACTCCAGCTGCTCATCGGCCTCCCGCTGCTGAGTGCGCTCGGCCTGGTCAGGTGCAATACGAACGATATGAATGCAATATAGTGCATTGGCAATGACAATATATCATATATCCCAGTGAGTGATCCTTGTTGAACAATAGAGTGCAATGGCAATGAGGCAATTAATGTCCACGCAGTTCACCAACTGTCCAGTGCGACAATGTCAAGGTCACAAATGAATGTTCCGGCGTGTTTGGACACCAAAGCCTTCGCTTGCAACAGCGTCAACGCTGCTCCAGGTGCGGACCAGCGCCCGCGCTTAGCAGCGCGCTCTGCAGTCTCGGTCATGGCCACCGTGCGGGCAAGGCAGTGCCAACAATGGCAAGAACTGAATGTAACTGAATGTAGCGAACACTCTGGACCTGGAGCTATGTCAACACCATTACACCCGAGTGTGCCTGCATGAAGTTGAATGAAGACATGGTGCAACGGCAGTGAATGCGTGTGTCTCATGCATGATGCATGCGCATGATGCATGCACTCTCGCGTCCGGCGCCCGATGCACAAGAAGTAGTTTGAACGTAGTTGCAGCCTATATCCACAGCACATGAGCCTGAGAGGTGAACATGAACATGAGAATGACACCAATCGGCACGCTGTGTGGGTTGGGTGGCATGCGAATCATCCACAGGCCTACATGCACAGTGGAGACGCTTCACCTTGAACCAAAAGTGGTCACAGCGCACGGTTGGAACGCAGTGCATCCTGCCAAAGAAGGAACTCAATGGCGCAATCAAAAACCTGAACCGTGAGACTATATGAGACATCCACGCATCTCGGGGTTGATCGTCTGTCACCGAGTGGTTCAGATAGAGGGCGGCGCACGGCATCCAGATGATTTTGCATCCGTCTCAATCTTTTCTTGGGGCTCTTTTTGGGACAAGCCTTCTTCTTGCATAGCACTTGATCTGCCTGTGACTTTACGAGTTGCTTGAGGTGCTTCATGTTTGCACCAGTCAGCTCCACCCACAAGTCTGCTGACCTCACACCCCACAGTACATCGACAGTTCGCTCGTCGAAGTCGCCAACTGCGGGGAACTGGATGGAGATAACTGGGTTCACCAGGGCCTCATGAGAGCTTTTGATCTTTTTCTTCTTCTGGAAAGCTGAGTCGTTGGGATCCAGCTCCTCTACCTCCAACGCCTCTTGGGCACATTCAATGCTCACCCGGTGCCTTTCGTCCAGGAGGTGCTGGAACACAGGTACGTTGCGTGAGATGCAATCACCCTTTTTGGAAGAAGTTTGCGTGGACTTTGAGAGGCAAAACATCACGAAGCCGCGGTCAAATTTGGAGCATTTGCAAAAGGTCTTGTCCATCTTGGTCAGCGTTGCGGGCAACCATGGCTTGTTGCCGCCGTCCTGCGCAACATGCCTCATAGCAAGCTTCACACCATGGTCATCGTCGCTGCCTGAATCGCTATCAGGTTGGCGGGACATGGCGCTGCCTATATACACTGCGCGTATTGAATTACGCCCTGCACTACCGCGGGCGAGCTTTTGCTTAAGCCCTGCGCGCGGTAAAGAAAGGATTGCGGAGTTGTGAGTGTGTCATGCGCTCCATGCGCCATGAACATCAAACTATTGCGCAGGTCACGCATGTCTGTGTTAGATTGACACATCAGAGCATCGAACACAGAACCCTGCACAACTTGATGTCACTTTAGACTTTAGACTGTTTGGTTGACTCGCACGCCACAGCCGCTCCCGTTTGCAATCGTTTGCGTTGCGTGTGCCCCGCATCAACTCAAAAATCATACGCCTTGTGAACCAAAAAGGACTGGACACATGTATCTAGGGAGAATCAACGGTCTGCCCCAAAATCAAAGTCTTCTCAGAGTCACGCCCATCATCTTCACCGGAAAGGCAAGAAGTCGAGTGCCCAATCATGAGTGTGCTCAAAGTGGCCCTGTCTGGCCCCGGCGCCGGACGCACACACCTTCGAGTACGCTTTGGAGCTGTCTCACATGGTTCAGGCTTTGGATCAGTGAGCTCGTGCTGCCTCTTGTGGGAGGTAGGTTTGGCAAGACTGGTGTCGTGCTCTTTCAAGCCATCATCCTTCACTGCTTCGTGTTCCAAACTAGGCCCACCCACAATGCTCTCAGCACGCTCCATGGGACTTGGAACCAACGATACGGTTGAAGCTAAGCGGAAACAAACGTTTTGAGGGCACCACGCTTCCCACACACACACACACTTCAAGTCACTCGAAGCACGCATGGTTGACTACAAAGGGCTTTCAATGTCCTGATTGTTTTTGCATGTCATCAACCAAGTTCACAGAATCACATGTTTCTGACTTATATGGAATGACCCTCTCCAAACTGTGTACCACAAACAATGGCTACTCCATTAGAAGGTGTTTGACCGCCTATGTTCAGTCAAACAACTTGCCCAGTTCGAAGGCTCCTCATCTCGCCTCGTACCGTGGATAACTGGCTCGAGTGGGCCATGCACCTGCATTTCAACGCACAGGGAGGTGTGTATAGCTTATACTTTACTGCGTGCGCGCGAAGCAGGGTCTAGTGACTCTATAGTGAGAGAGGACTCGCTCCATGCAGCAGGGCTCATGTATGCATGATGGCTCGCTCATCTGGAAACAGAAACGCTTCTCCAAAACCATGTGTGTGTGTGTTCGGCAGTTCCTTTTGTCAATCCCGCTTGAAAAACCGTAAGTGACCGGCCTTTGCAGCAGTCCCATGCCATGGCGAAAACAAAACAAAACACACAAGGTTGTGCACAAGTTGGTTGACTATCAGGTTGCACTTCGGTATCACAAAATGCACACTTAAAGAACTTGAATAATAAGTTGCGAGTAGCAGATACATGCGCAATCATTCAGCTGATTTACCAGTCTTACGTCTCTTGACTGGAGGGCCGCTGCAAGGGACCAAATCGTCAGGAGCGTCATCAGTTCGACCCTCTTCGAATTTCAGGAGCACTTCACCCTCTTCAAGGGCTTTGGTATTTTTCATCAATGGTATGCGCTGCAAAGATTTGTTTTCATCCCCTGGATCCACTATGTTGACGATCTCTACATTCACCTTTTCAGGGTCGGAGGTGCCCTTCACAAACCGGAAAGGCGCAAAGATGCCCTTCCCATCCTTTGGAACCTGCACAAACTGGGTCAAGGAGAAGCTGTGACTGTCTGTGCCACATTCGCCCAGACTCAACCCTTTCGGCTTCGATCGGCTGTCGACCTGAAGTGCCTGAATGGTGGGTGTGGCTGGTACCACTATTTGCTTCCCCGTGGCCACTGCGCAAGTGGCCTCAACGGTCTTGGATGGCTTTACGTACACATTGATTTTGTTCAAGGAGGCCTTGTGCTGCCTTTCCAGCTCCATGAGTTTCTCTATGATCTTCCCGTTTGTTGCAGCCACTATCATGTCAGGGCTGTTGAAGCTGGCGAATGCGACATGGTCCAATGCTTCTCTGGTGTTGGGCTCGTCGATCAGCTTCCACTGATTTTCGATGAACGCTGAGGTGGTGGCCATATACTGCTCCCCCACACTCGATGATCGCATTGCCGCCTTCAAACTTCACAAGTTTAGCCTGCAACTTGTCTTCCTTCCTGGCAACCCACTTGCCTGGCAAGAATCCTGCCTCCCGGAGAAGGATAGAAGGATCTTTCAGTTGCCCTGAGGCATCAAACTCCCTCAGCTTGGCTGCCACACCTGTTGTCGTCAGGGCTGAACTCTTGGGAGTGGTCTTCAAGCCATCCCACTCGTTGGAGAGGGTGACCCCAACTGCTTCTTGGACAGCTTCGCAAAAAGCCAAGGCAGCGTGCTCCATGCTGTCACGCAGCTCGATGTCCCTGTGCTTTTTCTGCAATGCCAGCAGAACCAGCTGGCACTCGAAGAGATACTGATGGGGTAACACCCTTTGGTGCTTCTCAATTTTTTTCTCCACCAATGCATCCACACGAGCCATAAGCTCATTGGCCTTGCCAATGTTGTCCTGGAACTGCCTCTGGAAAAGCCGTCGGCAGTCGGATGCCGTGACGATGCGCGGCACCGGGCACGAATACCCGAAAGCCAGGAGAGCGTGCCTGAACCGCGCAAAGGGGTCTGCATCCTTGGGTCGAGGCTCCTGGCCCAACAATTCATAGAACTCAACGCCAAGGCTTCGATCTGTCCCGGAAGTCCAAGGCACTCGCGCGGTCTATCAGCTTTTGACCGCCGCCGAAAAGCCTCAAAAACGTGAACATGGCCGGCATTGCTATCGAGCATCGAGGTTTGCTCTTAACCAGCTCTGGCTTCAACTTTTCCCGTTCGATGGCTATCCCCGTCGACTCTGCAATGGCTTGCCTGTTGGCAGCAGACTGGATGAGAGAGGCCAGCTGAGGCCACTGTGCGAGCACTGCGGCAGGCAAGACTTTCCACCGCAACCCTGCACGGCTGGCTTCAGCATATGCAGCGTCCTTTTGTTGCATTTTGTGGAAGTTCACCTTGCCGTCAAGGGCCACCGATTCCACTGAGCATGGAGTGCCATGCTTGATCATGCGCAGCGTCGTGTTCAGGTGGCTTCCGGACAGGCTCAAAAACTTGAGGTGCTGTGGGTGGATCTCCAGCAGTTTCCCACCACTCTCCACTGACAATGCCTGATTGAAATCAATGGCTGATGAATCAGATCCAGCTGTCTCCACAAATGCAATTGGTCACCGTGGCATCGAAACCCACATCCACGATGTTTCCCATCAGTGAGTGACAATCATGCCAAGCCACTCCATGGCCATCACGGTTTTGAGGATGGATCCCGATGAACTGTGGCTCTATGACCATGCGCCGCAAGTATTGGCGCTCTTGCAAGGCATGCAGCACCCTGTTCACCGAAGACACCAGGGGTGCACCAGGCGCCTGCGCAGCCTTCACCAAAGGGTCTATCTCAGAGACATCCTGTGCACCCATGCTAGCAAGTAAAGGCACTGCGAGCGTTGAACGTGCCCTGCACACCGTACATACGAGCGTTAAACGCCCTGCATTTCAAATTGAACCGAGTTGAGATGGAAGTTCACTGCAAAAGAACTGAAACATCCAAGTGACCTGCGCAACCTCTGAATCGATCAACATTGAAAAGCACTGGCTGCGCAAGAACAATGACTGCAAAGTCTAGTCACTTACTGTATATCAAAACATGTCTGCATAGTTTTGGAAGTCTGCAGCTCATCAAAACATTCAGCTGAACAGCATTGAAACCTAGAAATGAACCCTCCAAAATGAACTCATTAGTCTAAGTGTTCGATCTACTTAAGATTCCCAAGGCCGATCCCATGCACGCCTCGCAAAAGGCAACCGCGCCGCGGAGCCCGGCGCGAGTATACGGTTTCAAAAAAATTGTTCTGATCTTTGTTTACAAAAAACATGGCATCTTGGTCTGGACTCTTCTGCGCCCCCATTCTTTAAGATTGAAAAACATCTGCTTCACGAAGTGACATGCAATGACGCCAGCATAAGCTTGACTTTTTTTAGTTTCTTTCTTAAAAAATCATTTTGCAACAATACACATATTTATCAGACTCGGCCACGAAAAGTGCAATGTTTCCGTTTTCTTTGTAAAGAACTGAAACATCGCCCGCGTACCCACACTTAGCAGACTTAGCCAACATAGCTAAGTAGGCTATCCACACATAGCTAAGTTTGCTATGTGCACTCCGACCTACATAGCCGACTTAGCTAAGTAGACTCTGTATAGATCCTAAGTTGAACCTATGTAGACCTGTAGACCTTATGTCGGCTATACTTTTCACATGCATGTAGACTGTATGTACATAGCATGTGAGCCAAGTTGTTAACAACAACTTAGCAAACTTGCACGACATACTAACTCTGCTAACCGGTGTTAGCGCACATGCTATCTTGACATAGCCCACTTGCTATGTTGCCCGGATGTAGTGCAACTGTGCTATCTACATGCAAGCAGGGCCGGTCATCCAAGCACCAGGCCTCAACTGCGAGCGCTGGCGATCGCAGTGGGCAGCGCCGGGCCTCAACCGCGAGTGCTGATCGCAGTGGGCAGCACCGGGCCTCAACCGCGAGCGCTTGCGCCACCGGGCCTCAACCGCGAGCGCTGGCGATCGCAGTGGGCAGCGCTGGGCCTCAACAGTGGGCAGCGCCGGGCCCCAACCGCGAGCGCTGGCGATCGCAGTGGGCAGCACCGGGCCTCAACGGCGAGCGCTGGCGATCGCAGTGGGCACCACCGGGCCTCAACCGCGAGCGCTCGCCATCGCAGTGGGCACCACCGGGCCTCAACCGCGAGCGCTCGCGATCGCAGTGGACCGGGCCCAGCCGCGGGCGCTCATGATCGCAGTGGGCCAGTGTGGACTGCACGTGCCTCAACCTTTAGTGCTCGATCGCCGCATTGTGATCACAGTGGGCGCCGCCGGAACTCTTCCGCAAGCGCTGGGGTAGCAAATCAAGCGCCGCGAGCGCTCCCGGTGCCTCAGCAGTTGTTCTGCTCAATGCCATCCAGCCAGGTGCCCGTGCAAATCATTGTATTGGTGTCCATGAATTGATTATTCTGTGCATCGGGTTTGGTATAGGTTTGTAGCGCCAGCCGTTTTGTTTGTTGAATCTTCGCTGTCTCCGGGTCCCACCCCTTGGCGCCGTTGGGGCTGCCCAACCTGACTCCTCAGCAACAACCGCGGGCGCTAGATAGCAGTGGCCGCAAGGGCTAGATCGTCGCCTTGGGGGCCACCTGGCCTGACCCCACCGCCAGATCGCAGCGCGCGCCACCGGGTTAGAACATTTTACAAGAGAGAGTCCTAAGACATATTTCATAGTCAGTCAGTAAATATACAACGTAGAAATTGACAGAATCTGTGCCAGATAGAATGCTAGAACGTGTTGCAGAAAACATGTCAGGTTGAATGTCAAAGTCTTTGCAGATAGAGTGCCAGAGTTTTTTAAATGCCAGACAAGATAGAATGCAAAAATAGTTTCAAGATAGAGTCTTTTGAACCAATGCGTATGTGCTTCAAATCGGTGCTCTTCAACCATGACAGCGAGCTTCTTAGCTAGGCTAAGAAACGCAGAGAAATTATGGCCAGCAAAATGTAAAGTAAAGGTTTTCAGGTTGGAACCTAGTTTGCTAGCTTGTTGGGTTGCATTGTTTGGGCTGCGTGGCAGAGCTGGTGGCCAAAAACAAGTGGAACTGACATGGTTTCGGCATTGGAGTAACTGTGGCACACTTCCACAGTCTTCAAATCTGCACACCAAAGCTTCATGCGTGTGTGTGCATGGGCCCCCTTGAGCCATGCACTGCGAATAGCTGCGCGCAAAACACAAAACATGAATGTGTGAGATATCTTGAACAATTAAGATTTGAATATATATGTTTTTCCTTTTTGGCTGAGGGTGTACGTGGGTTTCCCATAGTGGTTTGTTTGTGGCTTCTGGTCTGGGAACAACAACAGGTCCTTTTATTTTTGATGAATTGTTTTTGGGGCTAGCGTTGTTTGGGGTTTAGGGTTGGGAGGCCATAACTTTTGTTAGCTTCTCGCAAATCAGCTTTGCTAGTTTCTCCCAGTTTCTGCTAGCCGCTAGCCTTTGACACTTTAGTTAGCTTTCAATTTTTTCATGGAGGCGTGGAAACGTTCCGACGATAGACGCCAGGACATTTGCCAGAGAGAATCAGATGAAATGTCAGAAAATATGCGAGATAGAATGCTAGATTATATATACGCAGTATATACAGATGGCCAAATAGCGTCAGATAGAATGCAAACACAATTGCCGAATGGAATGCCAGATAGAATGCGACAAAGTATACCAGAATATATCGTTTATTACCAGATAGAGGCGCTTGAAAAAAATATATATTTATATATATTCTGCATATATATATACCAAATAGAATGGCAGAATATTTTCTGCCAGATAGAAAGCCATACTATTTGCCAGTATGTACGCAAGACACACACTTTCGGTTTTCAGCAGCGTATATTTCCATGGCGGTCACTCGAAGTAAAGAACATATTTTTCTGTCGGCCTTTCTTGAGGACTGCTGTTTTTCATAAAGTATATAAGTTGTTTTTATGTGTTCGTGCTGAAACTTTTTTTGGGGGGGTCTCTTGCTGGAAAAGCCAGGGTCGTGTCATGTCAGGTAGATTCTGTCGAAGTAATGTTTGGCAAAGACGGACATGTTCAAACCTGGACTTAAATTGCCGCTGTACTTTACAGCAGGTATTTGCGTTCCATCCTTTGAATGCAAACCAACCGAGAGAAGGCGCATACCTGATGCGTGGCGTGTTTTTTCTCGTGCACCTTGGTGCAGGTTTGAGATTCCAATCATGCCGTCGAGTGTCTATCAGAAGTTGTTTGCTGGCTCTTAGTCCAAATTTTGTTTGTAAGTTGCTTGATTTCTGGATAGTGCCTGGAGGCTTGATTTCAAGGGCTTGTGCAATTACTATTCATTATTCGTTTGTTTACCAAAGTCCTTATATTTTTGGTGGTGGCTGAAGATTTTCAGGCTTATCATTGACTTCAGATCTTGCTAATGCTTTTTTGTATTGTCATATTGCTGATGTGAGGCCATCCTGCGCACACTGAAGGCCGATGGTTCCATGTCAAAGTGTTGGTCTGCGGTGGGGCTGGGTTTCCTGTTTGAAGAGCCAGTGATTGAGACAAGTATACCAATCTATACTAGTCTCAGTATGATCTTAGTCTTAGTCTTTAGTGTTGCCGCACGCAAAGCGGCCACGTGGGCAAAAGGTGGATGGGTGCGGGCGGGAGGCGGCGAGCCAAAACCAAGTCGGCAGCCCTGCAGGGCCACCTCCCACCCCAAGCCTACGCAATAGAAGCGGGGATCTGACTCAACAACCAATAGCCAACAATGGTGTCCACACTTGCCACTCACAGTGGTACTTGGTGGTTCGATTTTACTTGTGGCACTTGCAACTTAATTATATAAAACATTTGTAGTACTGTAGGACTTAAGCAATTTGTAAGTAGTACCTAGAGAACTTAAATTTTATTGGGTGTCACAAGGTAGTTATACGAGACACCCTTAGCAGCCACAGTGTTTGTAACGAAGGTCACAGGGTGGTTGGAGCATCTTGAACCAGCAAAATTGGTGGGAGATTGCGGGGGACTCCTTCAAGACACTTGACGTGTATAGACTTGAGTATTCAGTCAGTCTAGAGGATAGATTGGATTTGTGCCAATGCCAATACCTGCAACTATTTTAGAGAAAGGCCTTAACTAACCATCATCATCCATTATTGCTGGCAAGGGGGTATGACAAAATCATAGCCATGCGGCCATGCTTGATCCGTGGTAGGATTGTTTGCGTCACAGATGCGTTTTCGCTTGTTCCACCAGTCATTTGCAGCTTTTGTCAGGACACCCCAAAGCCTTAAGAGGTCTCAACCACACCATTTTTTTGAACGCACAAGGATTGTTCTGGGATAAGTTAGCGAGTTGTTAGCTGCAGTGTTCGAACCCGCCAACTTCCAACTCTGTTCCTACATTCTGCAATGAAGCCATTTGAACCGCAGGTGTGCCCTGGAACAGCCGGGGATCTTTGCCAAGAGATGTATGGTAGTGGCTCTGCTGCAATGCGCGGGACCAAGAGATTGACATCAATTTGGGTTGGTGCCAAGACCCTTCTGACTTTTGATCCCAGCCAGTGCACTGCCAGGATGGCCCAAAATATAGTGGAGCAGCACTTGGAGGACGCTAAATTTATTCATTACAGTTCAACTAGCCCACCGGCGAAAGCACAATTTCGGATCGCTCGGTTAAGCTTGATGGTTTGGAACTGGCAGCGTCACCAAGTGTGGCGCACCATTTTCTCACGACGCCATATAGGTTCTTGGACCGTGATGTGCTATCAGAGAGACCTCATTGACGAGTCGTTAGCATTCGTAACATGACATGCCTAAATCCTCACTCAGTCCTTTCGCTCTGAC